GGAGGCGGCGTGGTTTAGTGGTTAGGGCGCTGGATTTGTAATCCGGAGGTCCCAAGTTCAAATCCTCCTCCCTCCCATTAGATAGATTTGTGTTTGGTGGTCTCTTCCGCGCTTTGTAGATACCCAACTGGTCAGCCTCCCGCCAGTTGGGATTTTCAACAAGTTTCTGTTTATTTAAAATATCGGTTTGCTTATTTCAGTGTCCACAATTAGTACAGCAGTGCTAAACACTTCGACACTTGAATAAAGTGATTTATTTACTTATTTATTTATTTATTTATTTATTTATTTATTTATTTAATGTGCCGCACTATAATTTGATCATGCCACTTTGCCCAACACGTTATTGCAGCTTGCAAGACGAGTCACAATGCGAGCAACAACACTTTTCAACTGCCAATACATTGACTGCTGATTGACACATTGTAAGAAAATGTGCCGTATTACTTCACCTCAGAATTTGATTCTTTCCGATTGTCCGAGGCTGAACCAAACGAACAGAATCATCGATTCCCCCATAATCATGGAATTAACAACGAGAAATTATTCGGTAATTTAGTATTTCAAAGCTGAGCTATTCTTCGGAGCTTTCAAAATGTAACAATTTCTAAACCGTTTAACAGACTCAGAATTGGAAGGTACTGAAAGTTCAAAAACGAAAAGCAAGACCAAGAGGAATAACTACTTAGAGAAGACGGAAAGTTATGAACTTACCCAAAAGAAAAACATCTATACCAGCTTATATCGTTTCACCTCACGGTGTGACCGTTTTACACTTCAATATATTCCTAATCAAAATTCTTACCATGGACGTGAAAGAGCTTTGTTGAAAAAAATCCGCAATACTTTCTTTTAAAGTGCACTGTTGGTATTATTTGTATTGAATAATGCAAATTTTAACGTTAAAAATTAAATCAAGTGCTTTATACTATCCAGGTTATGTGTTTGACTTTAAAAAAATTCTTGCACAAGCTATTGCCCTTCAAAAAGACATGCACAACCTAACCTGGAAAGGTGAAGAAAAAAAAATCTATACTCCAGAAAATTTCCCAACCACCCCCACCCCACCTTCCCTCAAAAAAATAATGGTCAATCCCTAAGCTGCCAGTTTGCAAAATATCGTGATTTGTCAGTGTCTCGCAAATTATTTATATGCCTCATTTTGCCCAGCCTCGTCCAATAATTGTTAACTAGTCTCTTTGTCGTTTCCCGTCAGAGAAAACTTTATCTGAAGGTTCTTTATCTAAGACTATCCGATTTCAGTTCGAATGAACAGCGGTGTTCCAGAGAGGCCTCGCTTCTATGAACAATAGAACAATATGCCTCGGAAAAAAGTTTCAAGGCGGTCGGTAAGGACTTTAGTGACACTTGTGTGTCTGTTTGTCCGGATTAATTCAGTCTCCATGGCACAGCAATTATCAAACAAAAGCGTGATTATTGTTCGCTTGAATGACAATGGAAATTGACAACATTCCAGCACAATTCAATGTCTGAAACACAATAATGCCGACTCAGTGTAATAGATGAAGAAGAGTGCTTCGCATTCGGCTTCTATTTAGCGATATATTTGCCGGTAGTCGCTGATTTACTGAAGACAGAAGAGATGTTCATCACGGTGAGATATGGAGGTAAGGATTCGTTAGCGTGATTTGAGAATTTTAAATCAAACAGAGGGATTAATTCACTTCGTGACCTGTGTGTGTGTTTTGAAGTGCCGTTTCTCACGCACAACTTGGAGAATTTGTCTCTTTTTAACATTTCTTCCACAGATTGTCAAGAAGCTCTTTTTAACCCAAATTGCATGACCAAGGTTCTTCTAGAGGACATCAAGAAAAGATGTCGCCGTGACCGAGACGGTGAGAAGTTTGTTTGTTCGTACATGTTCAGTAGTTGTATGTTGACTTTTTTGTCTTCTTAACTTGACAAGTAGTGTTTGCTTGATGCTCAACTTTGCAAATGTCTTTGGTTTGCAGAAATAATTGACTTGTCAGACGAATCGGGTAATCTGAAAAATCTTCTGGAACACAAGGGTGAATATGCCACACAACTACTGAAGGCTAGGCATTCGTTTATTCTCATAAAAGTTGACAGTGAGTAGTCAGTGTTAACCTTATTCAATTTTTTCTTTTACTCTCTTTACAGAAAGTTCAACTTTGCACGTTCACATCCTTACATAAAATTATTTCCTGAGGAATGAAGTTGTTGTTATTTTAATAACGGTGGCTGAACGAAGAGGGTGGGGGTGGGGGGTGGGGTTAAAAAGTATAAAAATGCCCCAGTGATCAGGATGGAAAAACAGGGTCTCACCCCGGGCCAGAAATTCTTCATGATTATGATTGCAACAATTTTGCAGGACTCTAACATATCACAGTGAATTTGAAGCTTGAACATCCCCCTCAAGCACTAAAAGCCCATGATCATTCTCAATATATTATTGTGGAGCTGACACCATCTTGGATAATATATTATGACAATAGAAATCTTGAAAGAGGACAAACACCTTGTCAGTGTAAGCCTCTGTAAAATGGTAAAAAGGTAAAACCTGCATACGAGCCAAGTGGCCCATCATGCTTGTGCTTGTCCTCCGGTTTCAGAAACATGAAACAACTATATAGGAGCTAGTATTTCTACTTCCCCCAGAATGGGATGCTAGTCCATCGCAGGGCAAACCCGGCATTAAATTTGCTGGTAACCATTTATACACCTTGGTGGAAAGCTCTAGGCACAGTAAGAGTAAAGTAGTGTCTTGACCAAGAACACAACACAATATCCCCACCAGTGCTCCAACCCCGACCACTCAATCCAGAGACAGGCACACTAACCATGAGACCACCGCCAAATTCTAAGGTCCTGTAAGTGCCCATTATTTCCTATTTCCTAATGTTGTATTTCTTTTTTTTTTTGCCATCAAGAAAAAGAAGGAGAAGATGTATCAACGTACACGCCATTGCTCAATGACATCAAGACAATAACATCATCATTTCTGCGTAAGTGCTGATTATTCTTATTTCATTTTACCTTAGGGGATACTCCCTTAACGTTTTGGTGGGGACATGCAGCATGTTTCATGAAACCCTTACCCTATTTCAGACCATTAAATATGTGATTTTTAATACCACATGTCAGAGTTAACCTAAAATACAATATCCTATGTCAGACCTCAAAAATAACTACACCTTTAATGCATACCCCCAGCTAACAGGGAATGGTTTCAATTTACATAAACATTTGAGAATAGCTTCAAATTCCTCAATTATATAGTCTTAATCTAAACAATATACCCACTTCCAGAGTGCAAATCATACTGTATTTCAACAATGGTGAAAATCTATCCCCTATTTCAGAACAAAATGGCTCAAAAATGTTTCCCTTTGGGACTGGACACACCTACCTAGTTTATATAAGGGAATATATCCCCCTCCTGGCAAAAGGGGTCATCTTTTCCAACAGAAAAAAAGACCAGCCGTCATCAAGTTAATTTGATTAAGTCTCAGGAGAGACTAGGGGTTGACCATTCAGCTTTTGAGGGGTGGGGTGGGTGATTTGGTACAGGCACAATTTGTTTTTAAAACCCTTTCATACACCAGGAAATGTTTTTCCAAGACATGTAAATGCGTCTGTATGAAATATTTTCCTCAGTGTAACATGATTTTTTTCGTCAGTGGTCCATCACAGATCTAGTTATGCACACTTCTCTACAGGTTGAGTCTTTTGTAAAGTTTAGGTTGCTTACCAGACCAGTTCTTAATTTTGTTTCCATGGCAAAAAATGACTAGTAGAATTGTTAGGATTCTAATCTCTCAGAAACTACCCCTCTCACTCCTCCTGCCCAGTCAGTTTTGTTAGGTTCCCCCTAAACAATATTGATTGGTACCAATTCAAGTTCTTGGGTGGAAAGAGGCATAGAAAAAGTGAAATGAACACAGCACAGATAGTGACCCCAGCCTACCACAGCCTGGCTCTAAACCTTGTAATGTAGACTTTCAATGTAGATCTGTTATTAATTTAATCACCTCGTTTCTTCCTTGTATTCCGACACAGCGAACACATCAATCAGTTTTTTAATTTTTTTTTTATCTCAATCTTGTAATATAACTGATGCTTTACGGTGTTTAAATAAAGTGTATGCATGCGTGCATGTATGTATCTTTCATCCTTTTTTCACAATGGCCATATACATGTAATTGAGTACTCATCTGGAGTAGCTGTTGTAGGGAATTTCAAATCTGTTTTGTTTGCCACAGAACACCTAACCAGGCCTCAAAGCAGCCTCAGTAGCACCACACCACCGAGTCGCCAGGGAAGACGCAAATCAAGTGGAAACTGGATGAAGGCAAGAACAAGTTTAGCTTTGAGTGGTGAACTGAAAAAGAGAGGAAGAAACAAAAAGTGACAAGGACTGTTATAAAATTTATAATCTTAATAATTTCACTATGTGGAGCAAAAAGTGTGTAGAACATTTATTTTTTTACCCTACATATTAATCTGATAATTTTGAAATATATTGTTCTATTTATTGACTGTTAAGTGCTGTTGGGCAGTGTTGGAACAGCGCTATATAAATTATTTTTATTATGAGTGTTAAATTTATTACATCTTAGTTACAAATAATCCCTCAATTAACAAGCGATCTGCTTTTCCTTTTGTATTGTATTTTATTGCTGTGTGTCTAGATAGCTCTCTCCCCTGCTTAGGGGAGAATGAGAGAAAAAGAGAGGCAGAAATATGGATAAACACCCTCCCCACCCGCATATCCCCTATCGGGCAATTCATGTTCATCCGGGGTGGAATATACTGAATATAAAATCAGGGGTCTTTGGTCCCATTGACGAGGTACTCGTCAAAAAGGGTTTCAAAACTATGACAGTGTCTTTGTTCGGGGCAAACAAAGGGGCAGTAATCACAAAGATTGTCGTATCCAACGAGTTTTCAGATAAAAAATTGTTTGGGCCTTTGTTCGCGCCCAAATGAGTAGGGTGGCTGTATTAACCTGGCCTCATAGGGCGTGTCCATTGTACCAGTAGTGACAATGTCTCTGTCAATAGTCGATTTTTGTCAGGACAATGTCAAAATGAAACTTAAATAAGCGGGCTAAAAGCTTTGAATCCACAGAGATGTAAATAAAGGTTGAGTTTTAATCACGGATTAGTTTGATCGGATATGGAACTAATGGGTACTGCGAATACCCATTCACATCCCCAGTGTTTTTTTTTTTTCTCAGATGTAGTCATTCATATGAATTTGGTACCACCCTAATCATAACACAGCCAAGGAATTTTATAAATCTTTCACTGCTTGCGTAGTTTCAAATGTCAGTATTTTATTCTTTTCGAAAAATACATTAGAGCGTCTATTTTAACACAAATATATTTTAATAATACGTTTGTATATTTCAACAAGCTGTGAATTCATGAAATAAAAAGAAGAGGTTTAGTAAGTTGCTTGTGAACTTATGTTTTGCTGCTACGTTCTTTGGTATATGGTTTATAAGAGCCCCCAAAGGTTGGACGCAAAACTCAAAGCCTCCCCTCCCCCAACCCAGACATAACCCCAATTTACATTTAGAATTGCTTTGAAAGGTCGATGCCCTATAGTAGTTCTTGATTGTTAACACGGACTGGGAACCTTGCTTGACACTTTTTACTCTTACAGGTTACATTCTCAGAGAATCTGGCTAATCGTTTGACTATTGTGTGTATTGGGAAGCGCCAGGGCAGTTAGTTAGCCAGGGTCGGCAAAGTATAAGCCGAGTGGCAAAATAAGTGTTTGCCTTAGCATGCATGTGGAGGCGCGGTGGCCACATGGTTCGTATGCTCAACTCCGAATCGGTCCAGGTTCGAGCCCTGGCCGGGGACATTGTGTTGTGTTCTTGGGCAAGACACTTTATTCTCACAGTGCCTCTCCACCCAGGTGTATAAATGGGTACCGGCGAAGAAGGGACCGTGTTAAAGAACAAAAATTGAATATTTTTGGAGAAAACTGTTGTTGGAAACTCTTGATGGAAAAACTCGGTGAACATTTAATTTGCATTTGCCTAGAATAAGCTTATCTCAAAGAGAACGTTTTTCATTAAGTTTCGTAGCTGGTGTTATTTTAATTGGAACGCATGGTTATCTTTATTTGGGCTTAGTGTAATGACCAGGTGAAATGCTAAAATGTATTTTGCCCGACCATTTTTCTGGAATAATTTATTGTTACTGGTGGCATGTTCTGTTCTTAACATAAAATTATATTTCCTTCGATGTAAAAACACAGCAAACCTTACTTCTTTAGTGAAGATTACAGATTTACAATTTTAGCCTATACTAAATATCTCCTAGTAATACTCTAATTAAAACGAAAAGGTGTTATTGCAGAAAACCGCTCAGAAGTCGGTTTCATTCAAAAGAACTTTTTAACACGTACGTTAACACCTAGTTGAATTAATTTCTGTTATTGAAGCTACATACAGTGTTACAAAAGCTTTTGTAAACTAAAACTAAAACAGTTATGATTTTCGTGAATATATCTGATAACGTTATGATATAGCGAAAAAGTTACATCGGTTTTATTTGAAAGTAGGATATTGCGTGGATCAAAGCAAATCATAAGTTCACTGATGGCTTTTAACGGAGGTAATTGTTTACAACTCGGAACGATGTTTTCGATATTTCTATAAAAGTCATCTTCTAGAACAGAGTGTTTATCGCGGTATATCAGAAAGTGAGATTCGTGTTCAATTTGTTCTGATTTGTTTAGATTCACAAATAGGGCAGAGTCTGTTAACCCTTGGAATTTGATCATATCTACTAGTTTCAATTCTTAGTTTGTGATTGCCTCTCCTACATTTCACTAGTTCTTTTCTTTCGCTTGGCTTGCTTGTTAGGCCTAAATAAGAGGAGGGAGTATAATCGTAAAATAGACAATAAAAACTGAATGAATATGAGAGAAATGAACAGGCAAACGAACGCAAAGCAAACGAAAGCCCGGGCGAACAAAAAGACGGCTGAGAGTGCAGAGTACATCTGTGCTGTGAAACGTCTTTTTAAAATCAAAACGAATAAAAGGTCTTTTTTTAAAACATTTCCCGCCATTTCGCTTCAGGTAGTTTCAAGAAAGCCCCTTGGGTTGTCCACGCATCGCGCGAGTAACATCCGCGGAAGAACTGAGTACCATGTCTAAAAATAACTTAGAGAGATTACCTTGGGTATACGGCCTACATGGCGCATTCACCTCTCTTACCTTAATCTTCTCTTGGTGAGATGCCCCTTACTAGAGATAACACACACACATCTTTGTGTGCGGGAAGTCTTTGCTAATCTCAAGCTGTATTTATGTATGTGCAATCTGTAACTGATAAAAGCATGATTCTAAAGACTCGATGCGAGATGTCCCTTACCAAAGAAGAAACTAGTCAATCAATCAATTTTTTTTTTTTTTTTTTTTTTAACGAGGGTAACATTTAATATTTGTAAAACTAATGAATTTGTAGCTCTCTAAAAAATATTAAACATTTGCAATTAAAAAGTTAAAAAGTGTTTTGTGTTCGGGAAGTGTTCTTTAACCTGCAGGCCACAAATGTGTTTGTGTGTGGTCAGGACTGGTCAGTGCTGCCCTTAAAACGGGCGCTGCAACAGGATTTTTTAGAATTTTCCGGCTGTATCCTATGCTTAATAACGGTCTGACATTTTTTGCCGCTTTGGCGATTTACCCTAAATCCCTGTCGGTATTTAGTGTATTATAGATAAAAATAAAAAGAATCAAAGGAATTTTGTTCGTTCGTGCTGAAAGTGCTCTATAATCAGTGATAATGCCTCGTTTCCGTTATCCTTGATCTTTTTCCGTTATCCGTTATCAAAATTCTTTGGCACACTAACGAAAGAAAGGTTGTTTATTACATTTCAGACCACGTCAAAGTAATCTTCATGACATCCTAGGAGTCTCAAATGCCTCACTCGCTTTCAGTCAATCCTCTTCGTTCCTGATGGAACATAGGTCGTCCATTAGTGCCCGCCAATTGACACCATCTTGAGCAGTGCGTTTCACTTCCCGCCTAGCGAGCTGTCTCTCCTCCAGCTATGCTATTCGATTCTTGAGTTCCTCCAGGTGTTCTAGGGTCTCCCTCTCTTGCGTTTCCGCTGACGAGGGTTCAAATGCGTTACCTCTTTATCATATTTTCATTCTTTATCTCGTAGCAAGGCCAGGAACACACAAGCACCTCCGTCATTTTTAAGGGTAACTTCCTTTTTCCATACACTGCATCTTTTTATCCACTGCGTTTCCACCTTTTTCTGTAAAGTCCATCTGCTAAAGGTTAATCCAAATAACATCAAGGATGTGTTAGGGCGGGTTTTATTTGAATGTCGTAAAACCAAAACCAAAGTAATCGCTCTGTTCAAGTGCAAAACACAGGCAATACAGAGAACCAGTCAAAAATCGAAGCAAATACACGTAGCTGACGCAAAGCGCGGGAAAACGTGTGCGAGTGAGTCACGATTGGTTTTGGTTTTACCTCTGATTGGATAAAAAAGTGGCGGGAAATTTTTAAGCCAATCGCGTAGCGTAGTAACGCAAAACCAAGTCAACTGAATCCTGTGTGCATCAAAGTAGACAGGTCCACGGGCTGTAACACGAAGTGCTAACATCAGTCGAGTGAAAACTGCTCTAACAGATTGAATTTGAATTTGAATGCTAAATGCCTGTTTTGGAAGAATACCGTACTTCTGTCCTTGACAACACGATCAGCACTGTATGGTATGTTTATAAACATATGGTTATATAAACATATCAAAGTACACAGCTGTTAATGGTTGTTCTTTACACATGGCTCGGATAACTGGAACAGACAAGAGACCGTCCTGTAACTCCCAAAATGATCGGTAGCACTAGGTACATGCAGGATAGGAAAAGCTCCCAGCCAGTTGTTACTGGGAGGAAACCGCAGAAATCAAAGTCGTCCGCTTTTGATCAGTTTCAGTTAAGGTGTTTGTGTTAGGGAAGTGTACTTTAACCTGCAGGCTACAAATGTGTTTGTGGGTGGTCAGGACTGGTCATTGCTGCCCTTAGCCGGGCGCTGCAGCAGGATTTCTTAGAATTTCCCATCTGTATCCTATGCTTAATAACGGTCTGACATTTTTTTTCCGCTTTGACGATTTACCCTAAATCCCTGTCAGTATTTAGTGTATTATAGATTAAAATATAAAGAGTCAGAGGAATTTTGTTCGTTCGTGCTGAAAGCGCTCTATATCAGTGATAACGCGTCATTTCCGTTATTCTTTTAATCTTTATCCTGAACCGACTGCAATTCGCCACAAAACGATAAAATTATTTGGTACGTAACAGAAGAAAGATTGTTTGTTACATTTCAGACAACGACGTAAAGAATCTTCATGGCAGCCTAGGAGTCTCCAGTGCCACACCTCTTGCATTAGAGACATCCTATATTTTCATTTGTTATCGCGTAGCATGGCCGGCAACACACAAGCACCTACGTAATTTTTTTTTTTTAAGGGAAGCTCCCCCCTCCCCTCTTCTAGGACCTTACCGATGGTTCATTGTACTCAACAACTTCCACTTAAAAGGATCTAAGAAGGGTCGGATAGCTGATTATCAAAGGAATGACTTCATACGAGTAGGAGAGAAGTCTTGATGTCGCTTCACGCATTCTTTTTTACATTTACGCTTAACGTTTCATGCTATATTTCCCTCTACTTCATTTCACTTATCATACTCTTCATGTTTTCCTCCAATCACCTATCACAGATATAGAGGATATAACACAGCGGCGCGGAGATGTGAACTTTATTTTCGAGTGGTAAAAACAACATTTTGCGAGTAAGAGCCGATGAAGAATATAGAAAATACGCCACTCGGGTCCCGGATGTAGTGACGTATGAAGTTTATAAGTGGTGTATTTCTATACACTGTATTTTATGTTGACTTCGTTTCCATCTCTTTCTGTACACGTATGCATGTTAAGTCCATGTGTTAAGGGTTAATCCACATTACATCAATTATGTATTAGGGCGGTTAGTAATCGCTCTGTCCAATTACAAAACATAGACAATCCAGAAATCCAGTCAAAAATCGAAGCAAATACATGTAGCAAACCGCGGGAAAACGTTTGCGAGCGCGTCACGATTGGTTTTGGCTTTACACAGTTATGATTGGATGAAAAAGTGGCGCGAAATTTTTAAGCCAATCGCGTAGCGTAGAGCAAATTAAGTCTGCGTGCGTGAGTGAAAGTTGTACACTAAGTACGCGAACTGAGTACTTGCGACAGTCAAGTGAAAACTGCTCTAACAGATTGAATTTGAATTTGAATGCTAAATGCCTGTTTCGGAAAAATATTTTTGCTTCTTGACAAGGCTGTCATGTTTATAAACATACGTTGTTTATATAAAAATAACAAAATACACAAATGTTAATGGGTTGTTCTTAGCCCGTGTACATCCGCCCCCTCTCACAGGCTAGGCTGTGACTACCCGAGATGACTAAAGATACAAGAGACCATACTTTGATCCCAGAATGATACGTAGCACTAGGCTAACTCTAGGTACATGTAGGCAGGAAAAGCTCCTAGTGAGCTGTTACTAGGAGGTTTCCAGCGCAGGAAACCGCAGAAACTCAAAGTCGTCCGATTTTGATCAGTTTCAGCTACCCAGACATATCCGTGTCTAGGTGATACCCCCATGCATGATCTGAGCAAACAAGATTGATGAATTCACTCGTGGTGTAAGTTTGATCACTGAAACTCTTTTGTTCAAGGCAACTGTCTCATGAGGAAGCTTTATGAACTGCTCCAACTTCAACTGCATTTGTTCTTCTAAAATATATTCCTTGCTAATTCCGCTATCCAGAGTGGGAACTAATGCCAAGTGATACGACGAAAGCCGTTTGAACTCCGAACTGTCCGTCAATTCCTTATTTGCTTAAAGCTCGTTCTGTGTCGCCGCCAAAGCTGTTGAAAGAGACGTCTGTAGCCTTTCACACCATTATGTAAGCACGGTCTGGTGTGGTATTTACCGACTTGCTTGTTTTTGATCGGAAATAAATGAATTTTTCACTTTGTTTGTTTTTGCAAGCAAGAGAGGTGACCACGGTGGCATTACTTGAAAGTCCTGGGTCGCACTCAGCTATCGGAGAGTCCATTGCGTGCAAGCTCTCGATACATTTTATCGGCAATACCGTAAATTATGTCAAATATTAATCTTCAAATAGTTGGCTGTTTATGTTGGTGGCCGGTGCGTTTCGATGTTCGCTGCACTTTGTCGTTCACACATCTTCACCTCAGACAGGCTAGAACACATGCCAGAAAAACGTTTTGCCAAAGCATTCCTGAGCAATTGACCTTTAAACCCGCCATCAATTACATTTCATAGAAATGAACTCATGAAATCATTTTTAGCCATCAAAAAAGAGAAAGAAAAAGCAAATAAAATAACCCCCCGAAACAAATTTAGTTGCCGGAAACAGGAAATGATAATATTTACCCGAGTCATACCAAAATTGTAGCGACGAAAAAAACTATCTCGTGAGGAAGGAGGCATACTTGACGAAGACGATAAGGCAATAACCCCAAGAAGGACCGTAAGGAGTGGATTAAACGAAAATTGATTGGCTCATTCGCGAATTGATGTGTTTGGACCACTGGTGTTCTTTTATGTAATCCGTCAAAACAGGACTCAATCTCCGAAGGATGACCTCTTTGAAAAGTAGACTAGCATTATCAATCAAAACCTTTTTCTACAAGCAAACTCGTTTCTGCTAGGATGAGAAGAGACACAATGGCTCAGCACGACTTAAATCATTTCAAAGGACACCAAGGTAGCCAGTCATTTCCGGTATCGTCAAGAAAAAGGCCTCTGACCTGTTGTGTTTTGTGCGTGTTTTCGCAAACTGAACAAAATCTTCATTGAAAAATAACCCCAAAAATTCAAGACACGCTCTTGTGTTATCTTTTCCCTAACACACACTCACACGATATCAGCAGAAACACGGAGCAGGCTTTAGCTCAATCAAGCAGAAAGTTATTCCAATACTTTTAGTACATTGAAAAAACAAAAGTGCAAAGCAGCGGTATTGAACCGTTTATTCTCAGCTATTTGCATGAATTTATACTACCAAACTACTTTTGATATGGCTGGTCCCAGAAAGCAAGGGTTTAGAGTACAAACAAAACACGTTGACAGTTTGTCCCAGTTGGCGAGGTGGAAACTTACGGTTGGCAGACTTTAGAGCTGTTTAATCAAATGGTAGACAATTCCTCGCCAAAAATTTTTTTTCCCGCGTGTCGAGCGGGAACGAGTTCCGCTAGGATGACTTAATGCACCATAACAGATACCGTATGATATTAACTCCCGAGGCGATAGGAAAAGTTTTCGTGATGAAGTAAGGACCGAAAAGCTGCCTTCCAGGATCTAATTTAGCCATGTTATTAATCATTTGTATGACCTCCACGGGAATCTACAAAAAAAGTTGACAGAACATGTTTCCCAAGAAACATTTTTCGCATTCCACACACTTAAGACGTATTCCCACGGGATAAGATTGTAAACATAGCGCAGCTCTAAATCCTGTGGTAAGTGTACTTTGTAAAAGAGGCTCTTGCTCATAAAAAGCAAAAAAAAAAATTAGCATTGACTAAGACCTAAGGAATTACTTTCGGATCAAGTTCTGCCCCTAGACGCGGGCATTAATTCGACGGTTCCTGTCGAGGGAACCTAAACGCCGCTGTCTTGTTTTGGACCGTCAAAACATCGTTAACAGACACCGCAAAAGAATCTGCAGAACAACTTTGATCCAATGAACTTTATTGGCATGTAACAACCTTTGAATAGATTCATTTTTAATCTCGAGATATCGAGCTTTGTCACTTTGGAAATAAATGAAATACAAACATCATTTACAAATGTGGGTGTATGCTACAAGAGTTAAATCTTTTCCCACAACAAAATACAACTCATTTACACCTTTAACTTTTCTCTTCTTATATATTTATAGATATTTATAATTTCAAAGACACTTTCACAAGTGCTATAAACAAATGTGTGAGCGTACGACACACCATATACATACAGAGAATATGAAAAAATATTTAAGAAATTAGAAGTCTACAGAACACGTCGACGACTCTCTCTGTCTCTTTCTTGTGGTCGAGTTCTTACGATGAATAGTATTCGGCTTCGGATCATCTTTCTTCTTTTCTGTTGAAGTAGGAGATGTGACGAGCAAAAATTCCAGATATGGTTGAGAGAGGATGATTGCAGCTTGGATTGACAAGACACGCTCTTGATTTTTCAGCGCGTCGAATAAATCCCAGTAAACACTATGTTCCCACAAATGCTTCGTAAAGCACACTTTACTTTTATACAACTTTCCTGCGAAGGAGAAAAAAAATAAAGAAAAACGGCCGGCCTGATTAGACAAGTTCCTTTTACCTTCCTCCTACCTTCCTACTCCGATATTAAATATGTCGACAATTTTGACAATAAAATAAAATATGAAAAAATAATAAATAATAATATCGAGAGTAAGAAAGAAGTTGAACCAAATCGCCGGGAGATCTCGATTTATTCAATGCCTGGTTCTTGCTCGGTTTTGATGCCTGAAAGCGGAAAAGTTTAACCCAATGAGGAGAAAGTTCCGGGATGACTCATTTGAAAGCGAAACACGAGGCGCCTCACATGACACCGAGCGTGAAATTGCTACAAAATTTATACGAAAATTGTCACAAGTCCTCCAGTCTGTAAAGGCCAAAAAATTATCTCAGATCATGGCTCAACATCTTTTTAAACAATCTAAGAGCGAAAAAATAACATTTTCTTTGAAACATTCCCTAAAATGCAGGTCTCGACACAAAATCCCTCATAACTCTAGGTCATTTGTTTGCCCACCTAAATAATTAGTACGGAGCGTAGTAAAAATTGAAAAAAAATTCTTAAAATTACAATTTTACGCGAAAAGAGAAAAAAATGCTACAGAAATCTGATTATGTGTGGAAGCTATTAGGATGGCGTGAGTAAAGGCTCCTCTGACCGACTAGCGTAAAAAAATTTGGAATTATTCGTTGACTACACATGTAAACACGACAGTCGTATTTGAATGAAGATTTTATTTAGCGGCGGCGAAAGTGCGATTTACTCCGTTCACAGCCCTAAAATAACCACAGTAAAAATGCGACGCGAGGAAAGAAATTGTACTTACCACAAATAGAGCAATTAATATCGTTGCCTTCGATGGAATCATACTCGCGCAGAACCTCGATAACTCCTTCGAGCTCCAAAGTTCGCTGGTGCGGCGTTGTAGCCGAACTCCACTGGTTAGGAAATCTTGCTTTCTTGCGGCGCCCACCGGCTTCTACGGACTCCAAAACCTCTCTGCTATCTATGGTAGACTCTGGCATATTCTCGCATCAACAGTGGATTAAAACAAACGCTTTCAGTGGAACGAATTGCAGCCAAACTTTGACTTGGTGGGTGGGACGCAACAAAAATTTTTTTTCCAGCTTTTCCACGAGGTCTCAAAAATACGAGCTATTAGCATTTTGACAACAACAACAGAGTAGCGAGACGCCGCGTGATTGGTCGAGATGGGAACAATGAAATGGAGTTGAATGGCAAACACTACACATGCTAGCACGCTGATTGGATCAAGTGACAAGCAGACGCACGTGACTTCATTCCATGAATGGCGTTTCCCGCGAAAAAATAACGAGAAAATTGGCGCGAATAATGCCGCTCAGCATCACGGTACAACAACAATGGCTGAAAGGCCGAGAATTCTACCCGAAAGGAAATTTCCGTTTTTTCGGAGTGACGAGCTGGCCCTCAAACCTTGTTATCGCGTGAGATTTGAAAAAATATTTACGTCAGTTCGTTCCTTTGGGGACAGGCCAAATCAAACAAATCACATTCAACTCGGGATTTACGTACGTTTTATGTTACCAGCGTAGGCAACTGGTCACGAAAACAGGGTTATCACAGGGACCGCTCTAAGGCTTAAAAAGTTTGTTCTAAAGAGTCGCGCCAAAAAATTAGGAGTCACCGGAATCTCCTGTAGACAGCTGATAACTAAAGCTCTACTACGTTTTGGGTTTGAATTTCGTCGGCTTAATTCAAAATTTTGAAAAAAAAAAAAAAAATTAACGCAATAAAATTCCAAACAAAAAAAATCAGATTTCGAAAATATCGCGACAAAATTTACGTTGACGCGAGCTGGTGACTTGCACGTGGCCACAGGTAGCCGTAAAGAAAATACTTTGTTCTGTTTACTGTTCATACTGTAGCCAACAGTAACATTTAGACTGTAGTGTCCTGGTTTATGATGTCGTAGAATGACGTGCGCTGAAAATGGAAGCACAGAAAAAAGAAATCCGCTACGTTCATGTGGTATGGGTGAACGCCGGCTCCCTGGAGCTGGCCTTGTGCCACCTTTATATACATGTAGCACTTTGTTGCTTATAAAAAAACAAAGGATCGTTCCCATAAACTCGGGAAAAAATCAAGACAAGTCGTTAACACAATAAGACCCACAAGTCGTCGTTTCCTTCGTTTTCTTAAAAGAAATCGAACGTCATGTTTTGAACTTTTCGCAAAGAAATTAGAGAAAGAACTGGATTTAGCGCGTTGCAGCGACGATTCACGTCAGAGGGAGTCGACAAAGCCTCGTGCTTTTCATTCCGACCGAACACAGACGCTTATCTGAGTAATACATTTAGAATTTTCCTCTCTCTCTTCTCGACAATTGTGTGGAGTTATTAAATGGATTCTCCATGCGCTGAGCTGGGCTCTGACCACCATGATTGACACGGTGTTTCAAAGGTGTCATACACAAAGTGACGATAAAAAAGCATAGAGAAATACACTTGTCGAGGATATAATACGAAACAGCTGGACTCTTCAAGGCTTTTTCACAATGAAACTCGGAGAGCAGTGGAACCCGGCTTTGGGGCTTTTTTAAATTTCATTGTCTGTGAAAGCTTAATTTGATCGGCAAAGCTGTTAAATTATTCCAGTTTTCCATCCGTTCATTCAAAGGAGAGAAAGAAAATAAGTTGTGACAGTGTGTTCCATTTGTCATCTCGTCCTTGAAAAGCCGTTTAATGTCGAAGTCGTCATCAAATTTCACCACAATGCAAAGGAGAATAAAAGATAATCGTATTTCAGACAGAAACTTGTCTGTCAGCTAATGGACTGAGCCATGGTTGGCCTATTATCATGAACTAAGTGCTTTTTAAAAATTTTTTACACGAAGCAGGTGTTACTGAATTATCCATAACAAACACATTTCAGATCACGTCATGGCTACTAAACCATGAAGACAATTCTCTCCTTTATAAATTTATTGACTGCATCGTCTGCTTTCTAACTATCAGAGGTCTATTCACTTTCTTTCTTCATTATAAAGGGGAGGTTTTACACTTCAAGTGTACTGCGGTTTTTAGATGTAATTTTAAGGAACATTCCCATCGAAGCATTGGTTATCCTCTTTTTTGAAACACACTTCAACCTCCATTTTTAATTAAGTATATCGTCGAGGGTTTTTTTCTGAAGTCATAAATAGGCTTGATCTTGTATAACCAAATCACGGTTTACCAAATTGACGGCGAAAGTGCGCTTCCACAGAAAGAAAAACTGCAAAACAAGGAACATTTTTTCCGTTAGAAAACTGTATGAAATAATCCGAGGGCAAAATGAATCCCAAATTTCCTGTAGACACCACCAAAACAATTAGCATAAAAACGAATTTATCGTCACAAAAATCAAGTGTGAGCAGATGACATGTTCGTTTATTTCGATTCATTCAGTTGCAGATGGACTGAAGAAGGCAAGTTTGGACTCATCTTGTCTAGCCATAATCAATTTACAGGTCTGAAATGGTGTGATCTACAGATCAAAGTTTCCATGTATTCGTGTGAACAAGTTTGCCTATTTTCTATTGCCTATTTGCTTGTAGCGCGCGACAGCCAATGTAGCAAAAACACATGACCTGTTTTTTCGGCCGACAAGCCTTTAGGGACTCGAGAGAGTGGCGAAAACCAAGCGCAAAATCAAGCCTCCTTCATTGCTAAACCACGAAAGGCTGTCCAGAAAGTTGTTTCAGTAGTAAAGGAAATATTAACGTGCCAAAAGAAAAATTTGCCAGACTCCAGACTTGATTTTGACTCACTTCACTCAAACACTTTTGCATTCAAAGGTTGCTAATGCCTAAACGAGAAAAGCAAAATATGCAACATACAACTTTCAGAACTGTTAATCGTGGTACTTATCGTGCACAATACAGAGAAAAAAATGTACAGCGACTTGTATTCGCCAAAAACTTTAAAAGAGACAACCTTGTCCGCGGGTTCAAGCCGTCGAAAGTTTCTTTGCTTTGTTTTTGTTTTTCTTTCTTTTAACACACGTGAAAATGGCGTGTCATTTGAAGTAGATCCTCATGGTAGCCTTGACTGACCTTTCCGAAACAAATTAGCGAACTTACGTTACATGATAAACATTCACGAAAATTAATAGGTATTCGGAGGTTAAAGAGAAGACACAAGTAACGTAATACAAACAAACTTATCGCAAAGCCGTCAAAAGTGATGTTTTGCAGTCAAGTTACGAACGATAGTGACGAAAGTTTTGTGCCCAGAATGTACTACCGCACTCGGTTTGTGTAAACAATCACAAATGTTTCCTCTCGATTAAATCGCTTATTTAAACTGTTGAAACTGCCGCTGGCAGTAAAATGAATTCTCGAGGCTTTAAAATAGCGGAAAAGATTTGCCAGGAAACACAATTTTTTTTATCAGGTCTCTCCACTGGAAACTAGTTTTACACTTCGGTTTTATTTACAATATCAACAGTGGCTACCGCGATTAGGGATTTCCCGCCAAACCAAGGACACACGCGCAGTGAGAGATAATAACATAAGAACTGTGTTAGTACAATAGAAGTTGTAAGTTGTAAGTTGTAAGTAAGCGGATTAAGAAACGATTTAGCAAGTGACAAAATAAAGAAACACTAACAATTATAATAATAATTTCTTTATTCACTTAAAATTATACTTTAGCACTAAAATACCTGAAAACAAATTCACTTCCTAACAACCCCGGGACGCAAGTATGTAAACAGTGACTTTTGCACAGCACGGCGTATCTAAGATTTCCTTTCTTTTCCCGTCTCCCCTTAAAACTACTTTACCATTCCTCTGTCAGGGGGAGGGGGGTTGGTAGTGGTGGAGAAAGTACAGCAGGGAGGAGAGGGGGGAGGACAAAGAGAAATGGCGTGATGAACAAGTTACACTGATCGTCTACTACACAAGCGTGCCAAGTGTTTCAGCCAGTAGAAAGTTAAAACTATAATGCGCAGGCCTTTTTACTAGTCTTTCAAAACCCTGAACGAAAAGAAAAACCGTTACGACAAAGAAACTGGCATCGAAGAAATATCGTGACATGAGGCAATTACTGATAAAAGAGGCAATTTAGATATTTATGCCTATACGAAAAGGCATTTGCCACGATCACTTTAAAATTAGAGAAGACAGCAGTAAGATATATATAGATTCACAGAATCCACGTGCCCTGCATAGAGACAATGATATGCATTGAATAATTTATTATGTCGGTGTTCGTGTTTGCATTTCACTACTTCTGGAAATGATCTGTAAAGGAAAAAAAGCTTTGTACCTCCTCGAAGTGCCATGGGGGCGCTAAAAACCGATTATACTTAACTTTGTTTATGCGACCCTTGAAGTGGATGGCTCATTATTAAGAGCATCGACTAAAACTAACTTACTATCGTTCTTGCGTTTGCTGCCAAAAAAAAAAAAAGAAACGACAAAAATATCTTGGATAATTACAAGACCCTCAACCGTACAACCACGAACACAAAGTTAACTGTCGCGTGTTTAAAAATACAGCCTGGAGCAATCTTTTCCCGACAGTATATAATTACCTATTACGTTTTTTTGAATGAACTCGATGTTATCTTTGCACGGAAATGTCACAGTGTCCAAAAAAGGAAAAGGAAAACTGCCGTTGTTTGTTTTTACGTGCGATCGTGAAAGATAAAACTAAAATTCCGCGGTCACAGAAGTCAAGCAGCGGAAACGACTCAAAAAGGCCGCCGCCACAACAATATTGCTTGGTCTAAATTATTTTGAGGGGCAAAACAATTCCTAGAAAGAACTTTTGTCCTACATTGGCCTGAATGTGGCCTGTTTCATTCGCGTGCAACCTTTATTAATATTTTCTTTCCAGTGCACAAAACGTCCAAAAACACCCCCAAAACCACTTTTGCTTAAATTACATACGTCATTTATGCATTCTCGAACTATACCCACTTGCTGAAAACAAAGCTATAATCCGATAAGTCACTTGGCTGAACGCTAACATCGATGAAACACTAATAGATTAAATAATCTAAACACTGACGCAATTTAGCGCCCGGCTAGTCTGTTGGAAAACGTGATTTTTCCCGGCTAAGACTTTGTGCATAGTCGGCAGACATAAATTCAATTAATAGCATGAGATGTCGTCTTAAATTCTGCTCGTTAATTTTTCCCGCTCGCCTATTTTAATCAAAATGTTGTATGACATTTCCACGAACTCATAATCCAATTCTGAACGTTTCGCTCCAAACCAAAATCGAAAAGTTCGCCAAAGGGAAATGCCCAACCACGCAGATTTATAGTGTATAAAATCCTTCATGCCTGCGAAGGATACTAGCCCTTTCGCGTTCATAACAAACTGAAAGGAATGAAACGAAATGATCGAATTCCAGAGGAAACCTTCACTACTTGGAACAGCATTTGCGAAAATCTACGCACCCTATCCCTCCAAGACTAAATTACCCTCTGCCTACTCTCCTCGGGGCAGACTCCACACGGGGGACGTCTATCACACTACAGACATTTTAACCGTAAACTCTCACTGAATCTCCCCCGTTTCTCGCAGACAACATCTGCAATTCCCGGCAGAGATAATTGTTTCCACATTCCAAGTTAGACTGACATAAAATGAACAAGGAAAGGGCACGCGCGAACTCTGACAGTTATGCGAATAATGCATCCCTAGATATCTACCCTTTTGCCTTCTTGACGAAAGGATTGAACAAAATCGTGGGATTCAAACGAGAAGTTCGTTATCAAGCGTTCTATTTACTAAACGCCAGGTATCATTCCACCTCCAAAATTGAAAACGTCCGCTGCCATTTTTCCACGGGGCAGTCTCCACAGTAAGACAAGTCAGTCCAACTTAAGGGTTGTCCCACCACACACACGTTTCAACACTGACTGTCTACGCTCATGCCGTATCAACCGTGACTCTTGCCAACATTTGCGACTCTCATAGACGATAATTGAGAGCAGATCCCACGCTAGCCTGTCCTGAAAAGAAACACGAAAGGACGCGAACTCTGACAGCTATGTGAATGATGCTTACAGAAGAGTTTCACCCTTTTTTTCTATTTTTTTTTCTAAATGTTTCCTACAATACTTCATAACTCGTACTTTATTTTATAATTTACCAAATCCCTAAGCACCCTCTCTCTCTCTCTGTCTAAAGCGCCCAGTCTCCTCTCCTCTCCCCTGGCAGATAAGCGACCTTTTTGTGATGTCTGTCAGACCAAAAACGTTTCATCTGTACTCGCCTATTCCAGTTATCTTCCACGTTTCTCATTTCTAGACAACATTTGCCAATCGCATTAGCAGATCGCCCGTTAGACTGACAAAAACATGAAAAGGCAAAGGACACGAACTCTAAAAGCTATGTGAATTATGCATCTACTACAGATTTACCCTTTTCCCTTCGTGACTATACAACGGTTCGACATGGTCGGACTTCTAACAAAACTCAATCAGCCGGTACACTCTTTACCAAGCCCTAAGCACTTTCTCTCTAATATGGAATTCCCCACTCTCCTCTTCTTTCACGGATAGGCTCACATTTTTAAGGTGTCCGTCCAAGCAAACACTTTACAACTGTACACGCTCATTCCAGTTATTTTCCCCTAGACAACATTTGCGAATCCCATTAGCGGGATTAGCAGATTCCACGTTCGACTGGCCAAAGACGAAAATAGAAAGGACACGTACTCTGAAAGCTATGTGAATGATGCGCGTATATTACATATTTCCGCTTTTCCCTTTATGACTAAAGAATGGTCAAAATGGTCAGATATCTGTCAAAACTTCGTCACCAATCGTTCCATTTACCAAACCCAAGCACTGTCTTTTTCTAAGTTTGGAATTGGCCGCTCCCATTCATCTCCCCTTGCCAATGAGCTAAAATGCCTGTCCAACTAAACACGTTTAAAACTTTTTCACTTTCGTGTAAACAACATTTTCGATTCCCAGCGGAGATAATTGATTGCAATTCGCCATAAAACGAAAAACAAAAGGCCACGAACTCTGACAGATGTGTGAATAACAACAACTCTTGTTTCGTTCAGTTTCCGAACCTCCCTGCTTGGAATATGAAAGCAGGAATGTTGGAAAACTTCTCCAATTTAACACTTTAGCGATGCCAAAATGTTCCTTGGCTGAGATAAGGTTACCTACTGGGATTCGTCGCGCGTTGGCATTTTGCTTGCGAAGGCAGAGAGAATAATTTTAAGCCGATAAAGTGATTTTACGCTCATGTGAAAAGAATTCGCGCCAGATGACGTCACGCAATCAGTCCACCTCAAAAATAGCAGTAACTAAATATTTAATTCCGAAATACGGCTTGCAGGGCAAATTAACATCACTGTCTGGTGTTAAGCAATTTTGCTTGAATATTGATACTACACAGGGACAATTTAAATTGCTAAATTTAAGATAATTTGGGGTAACTTTGACCCCACAGCACGCAACTTGTGTTTTTCTAAATTTCAGTGATACTCGGACAAGAGTGCTAAAAAGCGTTTTATCACATCTGGCTCAAATTTAAAAAATGTGGCTCTAATTTCTAACCTTCTGGATGAAACACTGGTAGCTTTCGTGTACGACCAAGCAAGCAGTGTTTCATGTGGTATGGTTTCCTTTCTATACAAAGTGGTTTTAAGTATGTGGATGTAATCATAGCGTGTGACCAATCAAATGAAAGAACTACACCGTCGCTCTGTTGTTTTCAATATTTTGTACGATAACTTTTGTTTTGTTTTCTCTCTAATTTCATACTTGGCCATTCTTGCAAGTTAAAAGGGTTAATCTCTTTCACCTCGAGGAGAAACGTCGCTTCGTTCCATCACGTTCATTCATTAAAAAAAATTACAAATCTTAGTAAAAATATTTACCCTTGAATTTTTTGGGGGTGACCACCATAGCTGCTTATTTTTAAAGGAGGAGGAATACTACAAAGCATAGTGATCGAAATGAAAATCATAAGCTGTACCTTCTTACATTAATATCAAATATTTAATTACTCTACGATTTCTCGGTGTAAGAGGATACTCGTGATTTATATTCAAAAGAAATTCTCTTTGTAAAATTTGTTACTTTGAGGTGGCGTTCAGAGGATCATCGAAGATACTTGGAACGTCATCATCAAATATTGAAGCTTTGGCTTTCTTTTCTGTTTTCTTCTTTGCTTTCGTCGTTGTCTTCTTCGCTGTCTTCTCTGCAGCTTGCTCGTCTCCTTAAGAAAGACAAAGATTTATTGTATAACTTGGTGATGCCAAGATTCTGTTCATCACTACAGCTGTCAGCGGTTTCTGTGTAAACGGGCATGCAAACAAGGCAGTCGCCTGCATGCCTCGTTTTTCATGTAACAGATCACAGGGTCACCAGTTATGCCACATGGATCGAGTCCAAGGGAGGGACAATCACTCCCCTCCCTCCCCCCGACCCATCCCTCTTGCCCGCTCCGATACCTTTCTTCGTGTGAACAACGCGCGTAAGTAGCGATCTTGTCGAGTTGTTAACCCCGAGGAAGATAAGACTAAAATATTTCCACCAAGGTTTTCTAAAGTGTCCTTTCCTTTGAAAATTCCAAGAAGGTCCTTGAGGTAATGGTTACTTCATTTTATTGACTGGAAAATCAAAAACATAAATTGCGCTAAATGGCCCCTCATTTTTCCTCTTTTAAGTCATCGTTGGACGAAATCTGTGCCGTTAAAAGTTGGGAACATCTCATCTTACCATGAAACGATACGATGCCTTCAGACACAAAATCTTCATTTGCTCCGCTGCGCAAAACACCAGCAAAGCAGTGAATAAAGTAAACAAACCGAAAATAAAACAACACGAAAAAAAAACAAAAAAAAAAACACCACGAACCTCCGGCTGCGGCCTCTTCGGCGAAGATGTCATCCTTAGGAGCAGTAGTTGCAGATTTCTTCTTTTTAGCTCCTTTGGGTTTGCTTGGTATATCACTGAAGATGTCGCCCGAGTCTCCGAACAGGTCGTCATCGCCCAGCGGTTTCACCACCTTCCTCACCTTACGAGTTTCCGCTTTCTTCACTGAGAATAATTCATCATCGTCGTCCTATAAACAAACACGATAGAAAAGACATTACAACCTGTGATGTGGCGAAGAGAAGAAGACCGGCGTTCTTTTCGTTAGTTATTTAGCGTGAAATAACCTTCAAACAAAACGGTTGCTTTGACAGGTTTTTGCTCGTGATCAGACACTGGTGGATTTTCGGAAGCATGTAGAGCAACGAAGGCGGATGTATACGGGATAATTTTATGTGAAATCAAACCTCAAAATAATAGTTTACTAAGGTAAAAAAAAGTACGAAGAATGAAGAAGATCGAGACGATTGTGAAACAGGGAGCTTAAAAAAAACTTAAGCTAAATGTTTCAAGTAAAGTCACGCTTCCCAGAATATCAACAACTCTCAAATTAGTATCAGTAAAATCTTCTACCAGTTATCTTAAAGCAGCTCAGTCGTGGTATTTTTGCCACGTACAAAATCACTTTTAAATTAAAGGAAGCCTGAAGATAGTGGTTTCCTAAGGTAGAAAAACACCAAAGAGGTAATAATAAACCATAAAGGAACAAAGATGTTTAAGGATGGAGAATATTGACAAGGATTACAAACGAGGAACTCAAAAAATTTAGGCTAAACTTTTCAGATGCGCAAACCGTGACTTAGCTCCATTAGGTTAAGACTGACATAAACGGGCTGGGTTTTTTTAAATTAAATAATGGACCACCATTGCGCAACTTGTCTATCCTTAACTCTTCCCTAATGTCAGCGATTTGTGTGGGATGGGCGGTTGCAGTATATAAACATATTTTAACCTAAAGCCAAATATCACAGTAATTGGACAACAAAAGATCCCAAACTTTTTCCAGCCACTTTTTCAACCATTGAAAGTTTCTCAGAAACTCCCAATTTTCTGACAATTTTATGAAAACTTCCGAATTGCACATATTACAGTTCTTTATGAGTAATTTAATTCTACAAATGACATCTGCCGTGTCTCCGGCGCCCAACAAAGTTAACGTTAATCAATCGTAAAAATTACTTTCCACGGCATCACTCAGAGCACAAAGAAAATTAATTTATATGGATTTAGCCAAGCCTAAAAGCGGCACTTCCACAAAAATTAATTGTAAGGGAGTGGGCATTTGAAAACAGCCGACATTTAGTCCTTATTATAGCAGTCTAGCAAACTAAAATTTTAAAAGCTCGTATACAAATGAGAATACAAATAGATCTATTTTTAGAAATTTAAACTTCCTCTTCGCATAATTTTATACAAGGATAACATTCGTGGCATCAGACATCCTAATTTCTTTTTCGTAATATTCAATAGAATCGAACAATTTCTTTTCCGCAGCCAGTTTTAAGTTTTAAGTTGTCAACAATCTTGCTGGGCGAGAAGCTCTCTTTTCAAAACCATGGCAACAGTAATTGCTCGAAAAACATGCAAACGATAGGTGGTAATTTGAACCTTTCCATTTACCTGAAACTACCGGTAAGTGTAATGGGTTTTTTGTCACATCGTTATGTAAGCAGACAACTGCTATCGTTTTACAAAAGCAAACTGGTGCCAAAGAAAGCAAACGTTTCATAATTACAAGACATCAAATTCTGGCGTGAAGAAACATATTTACGACAACACGGGAAATCCGCGCGAGAGAAATACGACACGCGTGGGCACTGTTCCAGCGCGCGTTTTTTCCAAGGTAGAAAGGTATGGGCTTTTAACAGTCTACATCGGGTTCGACGTCAATTGAAAAGTGCTTGGTACTCAGGAAGCCAGATCAGAAACAACGACCACCTTCTCAACTCCATTTAGTCTGATTAATATCTTAATTACTGTGTTTTTTGACAAAGCTTTTTTAAAAGGGAAGATCGATTTACCTTCACGAGTTAAGGTCTGTGGTTTGGATCACGAAAGAAGAACATGTTCTCTGAGAGAAGCATTGAATAACAAAACTCATTTACGTCTAACTTTGCTCGTTTGACCAGCAAAGATTCTGTGTGTGCACATGTCGGGGCACAAAATAAACGTGATCAATCACCTTCTTGTAAACAACCTTAACCCCGCCTACCAATGTGCAATTTCTCTTAACTGGCATCATTTCTCGTGAAAATAGTGTGAGGACCTTCTATCACGACAGCGTTTCTTTGGTAAGCAGTTATTTTATTACCACCATCAACATGATATTCTCTGTTGACAAGAAACTACGGACGGGTCATTATTACGGACAATAACTAAACAAAAGATTACCAAAGGAAAATTGTTTTGATATCATATATGTATCTGGAGTAAATGCCGGGAAATGTACTACAACAAACGTATGGGAGGCTACTTAAGAGAATTCCGTGAAGTATGTGACAGAGGTCCTTTAATAGATCATCAAATTCTCCCAACTAATATTATAGGAAATGTATGAAAATGGTAGGGAGAATTTGTTTGTTGACATCAGAACTTAAAGATTTATTACATCCAATTCTCCCTGCTAGTACTGTGAGAAATATATGGAGACGAGTAAGGAGAATTTGTATGTTTACATCAGAGCTTGAAGAGTTTATAAATCACCAAATTGGACATATTATGAGAAAGGACAGAGAAGAGCACTGCGTTACAGCATTGGAGTAGAGGCCGGAGGGAAGGAGAAGACTAGGTCGACCCAAAACAAAATGGAGGAGGATGATTGAAGAGTGCGAGTACTGAGCGACTGTCTGGGCTCTAGCAGCAAATCGAAGTGACTGGAAAGAAAATGTCAGAGTTTTATGTGCCTTATCGCACGGAGAGATATATGTAGCAAGGTACATAATCAAATTATTGGCAACTAGTATTTTACGAAATGTAAATAAACCGGTCAGGAAAGTTTGCATGTTGATACCAGGGCGATTACATAGCTTATACCGTTCAGTTAAACGATCGTTAGTCTCCTTCACTACTATTACTTGGCACGTCACGCAACGGGCTTGGCAACGACGCGTGACAAACCTAATAATGGCGGCGAAAAAGACGATTAGGACGATTAGAAGTACTTACATTAAGAATAGAGCTGGCTTTTGTCGCGGCCTTCTTGGTGGTTTGAGGACTTGCCGTTTTCTTAACAGCACTATCAGCAACTGTTTTTATCTCCTTTTTGGCTGGCGTGCTCACAGTAAACAAATCATCATCATCTCCAAGAGGCGAAGAAATCTTTTTATCCGCTGTCGCTTTTTCGCTCTCCTTCTTTTCGGCTTTAGTTTCTTTTTTCGCTGAGCTTGAAGCAAACAAGTCTTCGTCAAAGGCTGGCGCCTTTTCCTTCGCTGTAACTTTTGCCTCAGGTTTAGTGGCTTTTTTCTTTCCTGTGTCATTATCGTCTTTTTGGACAGAAGAGAATAGATCGTCGTTATCAAGCGGTGAGGAAATCTTCGATTCCGCAGCCTTGCTGGGCGTTTTCTCCGAGCTTGGTTCAAGTTTTTTCTGCGGCGTTTTATCGCTAACCGCAGAAAATATGCCATCTCCGGGAGATTCCGAAGTGAATAAACTCGCAGACGTGTCTTTTCCAACTAAAGGTTCTATAGCCTTATTTTTAATTGTGTCCTTCGCATTACTAACGGAAAAGATATCACCTCCATTGGCAGCCGAAGCCTTTACAACTGCGGGCTCTTTTTTGTTCGTTTTCTCGCTAGAAACAGCAAATAAATCTGAATCATCGCTAAAAAGCTCATTAGCTTTGGAAACGTTCGGCTTTGACACGGACGATGAGAAAAGACCACCTGCTAAAGGATCGTCCGCTTCTTTAGCGATCTTTGAAGATCCAGAACTCGTGAATCCGAAAAACTCATCACTCGTATCCGAGTCTCTAGTACCAGTCCCCTGGGGCCGTGAATCTACTTCACTCTTCTCCAGTCCCTCCTGAGTGGGAAATCCTCCCCAGGACAATCGAGCGCTCGCGCTTGCGTCGTCATTCGTCGTGGATCCGAAGAGAGTTGCATCACTGGCGCTGTTTGTAGTAGCCGCTGCCCGGCGTGCTTGACGCGTTGGAGGGCGCCGTTTTACCTGGATTTTGGCGCGATCCTGGGGAAACCAACAGAAAGGTGACTTAATAAATATCAAAAATTACAAGAACCAAAAAAACCCATCCTGTGTTCAAACGCTAACTGCTACGCTCTCGCGCTTTGTGTCGCTTCATTTAGCTTCCGGTCATGTTTGCGCATTACACACAAGACAATGAAACATAACTTATCCTCGGGAAAAAATAGAAATCGAGAACACTATAACTACACACAGTGAATTAATGGAGTAACAAAAATGTTTTCAGTCTACCTTGTTTGCACTCTCTAGGGTGGTGACTTTAGCCGGCTCGTCAAATGACGCTACAGTGGGTGCTGCCTCTTTCTTGGGTGGGGTCGCTCCTGGCCTCAGCATGGCGGGATTGAACGCAAGCGATTTCTGACAACAACAAACAACACTTAGATTTTGTTCCAAGGTCGAAAGTCTCATCAGCAGCGCTTAATGAGCTCAGACGCTTTCACTGACTAGAGCTCCTAAGTCTAAAAATTCCAGCATACAAAGTGACATGAAATTACTGGTTGATAGCGTTCATTTCAATGGCCACAGGGTGGAGATTTTATGGACAGACTTAAAAATTAGAATCCCCTTGTACAGCATAATAAACAGTACCCCATAAAGTACTGCTCCGTAGCTTTCTTTTTAAAGGTCACACACACTAGGGTTTCACCGACAAACTTTGTTGTTGAATACACCATATTCGTCTTCTCGGTATCAGACTGGAGTACCTTACAACTGAGGCAAATGCGGGGAGTCCTTGCAAATGCAAATGGTTTGTCTCTTTTTTATGATATTTCCCCGCACGGGCCTCCATTGCAAGATTGTTCCAGTCAAACATCGAGAATACGAATATGGTCTATTGCAAACTTCTTTCAATCAGCGAGTCAGTACTTTTCGTTGTTGTTTCGTTTCTATATAATACGAACATCGTGATACAATGCACAAAACTTGAACTGCGGAACATAAACAGACATTCACATACCTGCAGCTTCTCAATTCCTGACCCAGGCTTCACCGGCGACGTTTTAGGACTAACTTTTGGAGGAACTGGGGAAGAGGATGGCTTGGGTACCGGAAGTGGGAGTGACAGCTAAAAGAAATGGAAAGGATAGACAAGAGACATTCCACAGCGGTTTCCAAAATAAAATTGATCTACATCAGAGCACTCGGTGGATCACAGGTTCGAAACTTAACAGTCAAAAGATACTGTTGGCGCCTCGACTCGCGAATATTTGTGTTTCATCAAAGCCTTTTTCAGGCGCGGTAGCCTAATGGTTAGCACGCTGGACTCCGGATCGCGGGCGCCGGTTCGGTCGGTGAAGTGTTGGCTGGTTAAAATCAAAGTCAACTTTACCTCTGGTTTAGGTTCTTCTACAGTCTTGACTTTAGGTTTTGAAGGAAATAAGTCATCTTCATTATCGTCAGCACCTCCTAAAGGATCTACAGTGATTAAGAACAACAGAAAAAAGTTACTCTCAATATCATACCGCGGTGGCACTGAATTCATATCTTGCAATCCGTTCTAGGTTTGACGTTTGAAGTGCTCTAGAAATAACTAAAGCCAGCAGCATTTATCTATAACAGAGTGTGTAACATGTTTCACTGGCTAGTGTATCTCAACAAAAAATCTCTGTTTTTACCTTTTGGTTTAGCAATAACGGGGGCTTTAGCAGCCACTGCTGAAGACGGCGGTGACTTGCTGGCGCCGAAGAGGTCCACACCTCCAAACATGGAGACGGCTCCAGCAGGCTTCTTAGGTTTAACTGGTTCTACTGGTTTAACTGGTTCTACCGGTTTAACAGGTTCGTCAGGCTTCACAGGTTCTTCAGGTTCACCCTCTTCGTCTGGTTTTGACGTTACTACAGGTTTGACCGGTTTTACTGGAAAAAAAAATGTTGATTCAATATGTCTGCTTACTGAACAATTTGGGAAAGAATATTATCGTATATGATGACCGGGCAACAAGAACTTTCTAGTTTCACGTTACTTTGAGTTTAGAGGCCCTGCGAAATCTTCATGCATCTCTTTATGAGTTTGTTTTTCGCTTGGAGAAACTAGTGGTTAGTTCACTCATTTCTACCTAATCAAACGAAGATTTTTGGAGCTACGCAATTTTTTCCCGCCCTCGGCAACGGTTGCGTGTTTTCCCGCGCCTTTAACCGGTCCGTTTTAAACTTGAGATCTGATTGGTTCACTACGCTGCTGTTAGCCAATACGATTACCTGTACAGATAGTGGATAATACACGACGCGAGAAGATAAGAATTTTATTTTCCATTGGCCCAGGATGAAGTTTCCTATAATTATTTTCAAGTGGTGTATTTTCCAGTAAGACACTAACGTCTGGAAAACCTCTCGTGAAAATATCTGAATCTAACGCAGATTATTTGAACTTTTAACTTGGATTGCTCGTAGTTCTTTACCCATGGAGACTAATTAACGATTATTGTACTCGGTTATCGCGAAATATCGTGATTTGATTTGATCTGCGAGACACTGACAAATCACGATATTTTGCGATAACCGAGTTCAATAATTGTTTTATCATTCGATCACCAAGTTTGTTTTCACATTGAAATCACTCTCTGGCAGCTCAAGGAAGCGACTCGCTATTTTTTTTTTTTACCTGAGAACGTGGTTACATGTACACGTGAGCAGAATGTTATTTGCGGCTAAACACATTTAGACGGTACTACGCATGAGCAGACCATTATTTCTAGGTCACGTGGTGAGCTCTCGGCCAATGAAATGGAAGAAAAATATGCATCGAACGATAAGGGCTATAACTTGCAATGAACACTATACAGGCGTTTTCTGGAATTCGCTAAGATTGGCTACACAATGTTCCGCGCGTACTTTTATAAACTTAATCACAAATCTTCAGCACCGACAAGTGGGTTTACTCTTACCTGTGGCTGGTTTGCTCGGTGTGGAAAAAAGATCATCTTCTGTTGAATCGCCAAACAAGTCTGAGCTTGGTTTGGCTTTGACGGGTGCGGCGGGAAATTTAATTTTCTTGGGTTTTGAAGAGAATAGTTCATCTTCTTCTTCTTCCTTTTCGTGATCGAACAATTCTGCTCCTTTCTTGGGCGCAGCTGGTTTGTCTTTTAAAATAAAAAAGGAACTCGCAAAGTCAAATAAAAAGTGACCCGCTCGAGTATAGATACAAAAAAAGTAACTATTGGAGAACGATATCATTTTAAGATATCACTGATGATCTAATTCTCCTAACTGATGCTGCAAAATTTGTAGGGTGACAAGTAAGGAGAGTTAACATCGTGATAACGAAGAAATGTTCATTTGTCATCAGCGTGGAACAAACAAAATATCTGAGTCGCCGACAGGATTGAACCCTTGACCTCCCAGATACCGGTTGGGCGCTCTAACCACTGAGCTAAGGAGAGACTCTCAGTGGGCTGGGCCATTTACTAGGTTCATATATTGACATGATGACATCAGGGTTTAACAGGCCAAAAAAACCCAGGCGCTAACTTTCTTCAAAGAGAGTTACATAGCTTTAAATTTCTACCAGCTCTTTCAAGGGAGATGGGAAAGAAGTAAATCTGTCTGTGACACAAGCTCCTGGGAGAAAATTCACGTTTTTCTGACAGGAATCGAACCCATGATCTTCTACGCATCAGTCGGGTACCCGATCACTGACCGACTGAACAGCTTAGCCACGACACAAAGTTCAAATACGACAAACGTCTCATATACTGTAAGGATAAATTTTGTCGACTAATGAGACTACATGACAAGCAGTCAGTAACAAAAGCGACTCTAGCTTACACTTCATTGTACCTTCTTCCTTTTTAACTGGTTCCTTCTTCTCTACATCACTCTTTTCTTCAGTAAATGAAGGCTTCTTCCCAGCAAACAAATCAACACCGCCAAACATGGGTACTCCTCCTACTGGTTTTCTCGTCTTGGGACTCTCTGCTATCACTTCCTTCTTCTCCTCGACCTTTGGTTGTTCCACTGATTTATCACCAAACAAGTCCTCTTCTTCATCACTGAAAAGACTTGGCTTTGGCGCTGCTGCTGCAGCTGCTGGTCTAGGCTTCGGTTTGCTAGCCTGGCCTCCATCTTTAGAATCACGTGATGGTGCAGCTTGTGAAATGGCCGCTGACAAAGGCGACACAGGCTCAAACGATTTCTGGGGAGACTGAGAACAATATTGGATAAGTTTTTACGATAACTGTTACTAGTAATGTCACCATGACATAAAATCTTTTTTTTTTTCTTATTTATATACCTGTGACGGCGAGGCAGCAAAAATGTCGTCCGCTGTGCCTCCGAACATGCCTTCATCGTCATCGTCAGCATCAAAAAGGGATTGTATCTTTGAAGAACTCCTTGTTTTTGGTTCGGTCTGTGTATAAAAATACCAATACGATTAAATAGCTCATCTGGTGTTATGTTGTTGTTGTTGTTGTTTTTTTTACATCAAGCTGATTCAAAATAATTCAAAACAGCATGAATCCTAATGGACTACCGTGACGGTCCAATACGCCTTCCTGAATGTGGGCTCTACCCAAAAAATACCCTCTACCAAATTTCAGACGCACAAATCCTTCCGACAGTAGGTGCCCTCGAATAACGCCCAGGTCAAACGTTCAACTTCACATGAGACGAACCAAACTAAGCGAATTAAGTTCATGATAAGTTCGACGTTTGACTCAACTGAGTTAGTTCGTCCGACTGATTTGAGTTCAGAGCAGACGGATAGAACGTGTTCGTCGATCTAAATTTAAGTTCGACGTTTAACCCAACGGTCGAGCTTTACCCGTTTAGATCGAATCAAATTGCCATTTAGTTCGTCCCATGTAAAGTTTGACCTGGACCTAAAAGCCAACCGAAAACGAATTTTGAACAAATATAACCCCAGGGATTAGAGTGTATTATCGTAATTTTACAGTAACTCTTTTTTTTTTAAATGGCTAAGATGTTGAGAAAACCAACAGAAAGACGTAAAAAAGTTGTCAGACATCAATCAAATATTACAGCGAATAGCAACGCTTTGTGCATTCACTAAGCATTGGCGGTTATTGTACGTTTTGCTCGAAACAAAGCTGTATGGAATTTCACAACGTACTTTTCTGTTCTCTTTAGGAGTCGCATTAGGAGATGGAGTAGGTTTAGGTGATGGAGAATTGAACAAATCGGCTTCATCGTCATCAAAAAGTCCTGAAGACTTCTCGCTGGCCGGCTTGGTTTCCTAGGATGAGGGAGACATTATTTACCTTTATTCAATTCATAATAAATTGCAAACAATATTGAACAGTAATGTCAAATTGTAAGCTGTGTTAGTATTTTAAGCAATGTTAGAGTTTTGTAAGCTATTTCGCTATTGTAAGTAATGTTATTATAACTGTAAGTAATATTAGTATTGTAAGTAATGTTAGGTAGTGTTGTAAATGATGAGTGTTGCAATAAAGAAGCGTCCTTTTTGCGAGAAAAAAAAAAACCAAATCAGTCGATTACTCATTTGAGTGTCAGCGATCAAACATTTAAAAATAAAAGAAACGCTAAAAGATTTTTTTCTTTGTCGGCAGCAGGATCATAATGATCATATTGACATATTTTCCGAGTGACAAGCTACCGTTTAAGGTCATTCCACTGAAATAGAACCTGCACTGAGAATTTTTTGAAACTTTGCCTATAGATTGTTTCTATTATAGGAACTTAAATTTTGAAATAAAAATGAGGGGCCCCCAAGTTGGTTTAGGAGCAACAGCACCTTGTTTATACCCAATAAATTCTTATAATAGCACCATGATTGTGGTCACGATTGCTTACTAAATTCACGTTTCCGACGATTGTTTTTGTTCTACACTGAGAATTGGTCCATATTTATTTTACACAGAGAAATTTTTTACTCAATTCAAAACAACAGAAAAAAATGATAGGTGACCATACTCGTTTGCGAGAAAATGACGATTTACCTCTATGGCGAGGTCCAGCCGTAAAGAAAAGGCCGCCATTTTTTAATGCGCGCGCGCTAATCACGCGTGAAATTATGCGCAGTAGGGATGCGCAATGCAATACTGGGGAATGACCTCAACATACATGTACAGTGACATTTATCTGTCTTCCGTTGCTTTCCGTGCATCTGTTCACGATTTTAAAGGTATGCAGTCCAAAAATTATCCTGCCGAGACGACTTTAACAGTTTGGGCGCGATTTACAAGAAAAGTGACCAGTTTGTTACCTTAACTTTTTCTTTTGGTTCCTCTTTGCTAGGTTGCTTTTTAGCTGTGACACTGAAAAGCAAACAGACACTAATTGAAACGCGGGCAACGGTAAAGAAAACAACAGAGGTCTCAATGCACAACAAAGGGGTAACAGTGGATGAGTGTGAGAAAATTGACAAGCTTCTGAAAAACAAACGACGATTTCAAAGTTCATGCACTGTGATCTAACTCCTTTAGCAAACCCACATCATAACTTCATTACCTGTTTGTCTTGGAAGCTGCTGGAGTAGTAAAGAAATCATCTTCATCTTGTTCATCATCATCAAACAGACTGATCGTCGTTTTTGTTTTTGGCCTTGACTTCACTTCGGCTTTCGGTTGTGGCTTTGCAGCGGGAGCCCCAAACAGCCCTCCCCCATCTTCCTCGTCTTCATCACTGAACAGTCCTCCCCCTGATTTTGGTTTGCTCGGCTGCGAGGCAGGGGGAGGCTTTACTTCAGTTTTCTCGGGTTGTGGGGTGGCCTTGGACTCTTTGAACAGGCCAGTATCACCTTGCTGAGGGCCAAGAAGAGAAAAAAAAACTGTAATTCCAGTTTTGAATCACGTTAGCCTGGGAAACAAGTCGTCTCTTTTGAAGTGATCATCCTCTGAGAATTGAGTACTGATGACACTGCACTACAGAGTCTAGTGTCTCTAAATGGATGTTCAAAACCGAGCAACAAAAAGTTATAGACAATAAACTGATCTCCGAAGAGCTTTGTGACACCCTGACCATTGAATAATATTATTTTTGGAGCAAATTTCAGATGTCTCCCTCTCAATTGGAGGATCAATCAATCAATTAATGAATCGATCAATTCATTAATCAATCAAGCCTTCAATCAATCAATCCATCCATCCATCAATCAATCAATCAATCAATCAATAATGAGTCTATACTTCCAACTGGCCACAAAAGTCCTGATATAAGTCAAGTTACTTGTAAAGAGTATAAGGTGATTAACACCATTACAAAGAACCAGTCACATTAACTGAGTCATCACCTCTTCTTCATCTTCAGTTTTCTTGCCTATCAGCAGAGGAGGTGGAGAACTACCAAACATTGACACGGCACCAGCAGGAAGCTACAGTACACAGTAAACAACAACAACAACAACAACAAACAGTAAGTCACTACATTTGGATTTCAATAATTATTACTTCCTCTTTGCTTGAGGCACTGTGTGGGCAGTGGTGACTTTAAAGATGGTACATTGGTTTGCAGATAGTTATTAAGTAAGTACTTTTACTTTTTTTAAATTCTCGATCCATGGCATGCTACTGAAGGAAAATATTCAACAACTTTAATTAATGTTGGTAACATAGGGACTGCTTGAACAATCTCCTGAGCTCACGTTAAAAGTGCCTGACAGTAATAATTAAAAAGATTTGAAGATATTAATCAAGAGGTCTAAAAACTTGGGCAGTTGCAAAAATCAAGGCCAGTCTCATTTGATCTGGGCTAGAGACCTTATGTTGTGCTTGTATGGAGAAGACACTCAACTCTCACAATAAACCGCCAAACAGTGCTTTGTACGTGTCAATGCCTAATCCTCTCAAGCTATCCAAAAGAAACCATTGAGCCTATGGAAGAGAGAATTATTATGTTGAACAAACCTTTTTCTTGGGTGGAGCCTGCACAGGTTCTTTTGCCACTGGCTTTCCACTGAACAAGTCACCCTCATCTTCATCTTCATCATCGCCGCCAAATAGGTCAACCTTATTTGCTGACGATTTTGTTTTTGTTGTCTCTGTTTAAATTCACAATACAGCAATATCAGAGTGACTACAAAACAGTTGGGGTGTAATATTATTTTTTAAAACGCTCATTATTGCGGGATTATATTTGGGATAGAGCTATTGAGAGGAGGCTCATTTTTTAACTTTTTTTTAACATGTGAGATTTCAAAGATTTGGGGGTTTATTTTCGTGTGCTTTGTTTTGGATGCAACTGTGATGGGGAAAAGAGCAGTCTGAAGTTAACAGCATACAATAAAGCCCTGTCTGCACAAATTCATCTCCACTTGAATATACATGCTTGTACTTTTTGATATGCCTTTGCCTATGGTCCACACTGAAATGATAAAATTTTCATCGCAAATGCATACATTTGAGAACACTGTCAAGTGGGGAGAAATTTGAAAATGGATCCATATTAGTGTGGACAGTGATAATAGAGACTTTTTAAGACACTGAAGTCGCATGTACAAATGTTGGTTGTCCTGTTTTCTCACATAGTAATGCGTTAAAAACCTATCATCTCATTACAAGCTTGTGAAGGCCATAAAGGAAACTGATACATTAACATTAGGTTACAAATGACATACCTTGGGCTGCTGGAGCTGGGGATGGGGATGGTTTTGATGTTGTACCACTGAACAGATCATCTTCATCATCACCATCAAACAGTCCACCCCCACCCCCTCCTGTCTTGGCTTTGGGTTTTGTCTCAGACTCATGGCTTTCTTGACGTTTAGTTATACTACTTGTCACACCCTTAGTGAGAAGGAATAAAATGAGGCAGTCATAAGCAAGATTGCTACGGTTAAAGCTAAAATAGCAACTGCACAAAACATACATTCAAGTAATACAAATATTTGGCTGCTTAGTTAAACACTGCACATGATACTTATACTGGATAGAATTTACATTGTAAGTAGTGCAAATTTGGAAAAAAGTTGGGAAAATGGCTTAAAACATAAAACAAACATTTCCCTCCTAAAACAGCCCCTTATTAATATTTAAGGACATACATTATAATATATGTCTTGCTAAGCTCCCTACCTCTTTAGTTGGTGATCCAAACAAACCAGACTCTGAAAGAAAAAATGTCCATATCATGTAAGCCTCATGTCCACGAAATTGTGCACAACTTGTGCAATGTTCATCAATGTCCATAGGTACATGTACATGCTCCTAATTTTTGAACACAAAATTCAAGACTAGTGTTAAGGCCTAGGAAACTTCAACTACATGAGCTTCTCACAAATACATCGTAAAACTCACCTCCAAATATGGAGACTGCACCAGCTGGGATTTTCTTGCCACTAGCTGTACTTCTTGCTCTGGGTTTAATCAGCACTGACTCTTCATCTTCTGGAAACAGATGAAACATGAAGTTACAGAAATTAAATTACTTCACCTCATTTGTACAGACAAGCTCCTCTCAGCAGTTTTACTCTCACCTTCTGTTGGCTCTTCCTTCTCATTTGTTTCAGAAGGTTTTTCCTCTGCAAACAATGAGTCCTCTCCCTAAAACGGCAAGTTTTGTGATGTTAATAATAAATGTATGAAAGAAAAAAAAAGAACCACAATATACAATGTACAGTGGTAGCCATTTGATGTACCACTGTTTTTGAAAATGAAAATGCTGTGGCAACGAAGATATCAGGAGGTAAAGAGCTAATTATCTACCTTAATCACTAAAAGTATCTGAAAGAGGTGCATATCAAAAAAATTTACTCTGTTTCCAAAAACTCAGCATCTTAAAACTGCTAACAAGAAGAAAAGTAGTGAAAAATTTTGCACTTGTAGTGATGTTTTCATACACACCAAACAAACAGTTGGGCAGAAATGCCACTACATTTGCCCAGCCCCACCCCACCAACAATGTTGAACACATGCACCTGTAATTTCTGATTATAGTGGGAAGGGGAGGGGGGGAGGGGGAGGGAGAGGGGGAGGGGGAGGGAGAAACAGCAATGCATTTTTAAAGGATAGCAGTACTTTTTGAAACTTCAGTTCTATAACACAGATAAGTCGTGACAAAACATCAGTGTCCCAAGGACTTAAATTGTCTGACATTGTAGGGTCAAAAATATAAGAAATAAAACAACCCAGGCTTCTAAAATCTTGGGTCTCTAGAAGTGGTAACTTGGAAGAATTTCACACCAGCTGAAATGCATTCTTGTAGCCATGCTGGGGTCAGATCCACAACAGAGAGCAGAGATCAAAATATTAAATTGTTACCTTGTATTTATCTTCAAAATCATCAAACAAATTCCCTCCCCCACTGAAAAGCCCTCCCTTCTTTGCAAATGGTGTTCCTTCACTTCCAAACAGACCATCCTCCTGAGGACTAGACTGACTGAATAAATCTGACAAGACAAAACATTATGACAGGAATGTAAACTTTGTCATGTAAAACTCACTGCCCAGAGCCAGGCAGAAAGAAAAGAGGAAGGAAGGAAGGAAGGAAGATGTAACTACATGTCAGGGCTCGAAAAAAGTGCTGTCCATTCATCCTGGACAAGTAGATTTTCCTGCTTAGCTAATAACTTTTCATTCTCACTTGCTCGATGATCAACGGCCCAGGCACGTTGTCTGCAAACTATATGAAAGAAAAAGGACAATAAGACTGGCCCAGGGCAAGCAGAATTTCAGAATTGTTTGTCCAAACGGCAAGCTGGAATTCAATTTTTTTTTTCCAGCCTTGCATTCAACAGAGAATGATACATGTAGATGTAGACAAAGAGAGGAATTCGTGACATCACGACATCCAGTAACCAGGAAATTGAAAAACTAAAATAACTTCATGAATGCCTAATGTGACAACTGTGGAAAGAATGGATGATGATGACCGGGAAGCCGTGCTTTATCCTAGGACTACAGGGATTGTAGCAGATGGCATTTCAATACCCAAGTGATTGCCTGCGCTGGTTTCAGGGAAATGCGATGTGAAATGCGATGGCTCTACAGGAAAATGCATAGACTTGCTATGGACTGTTATTAAAGAAATAGAGCCAATTCTTTGGCAAAATATCCCACCTTTGGGGCTCCAAGCTGATGCCTTTGTAACAATCAAGGAAATTTAGATTTTTTATTTTCATGGTTTTAATTAAAATGATGAACTTTCCATACCAGGAGACAATAATATAATTCATTCATTTGGTAGTTAACTTGAAACATCATTATTTGCTTTCCACTTATAAACACAGGAAGAAATCTCAAATTAAAGTAAAACATCAGAAACACTGTAGAAATGCAGCTGCTTTTTCTCACCATCTTCGGCAGGAACTGATTTTCTTGTGTCCACACTGGTATGGCTGGTGTGGCTGGTCTTACTTCCACGCCGCTTTCTGTGTTTGTGTTCCCCGTGTGACTCAGACCTGTCTTTCTTCTCTTGGTGATGATGGTGATGGTGATGATGATGAGATTTCTTTTCTTTAGATTTGCTGGTGTCACTACGACTCTTGGTTGCGCTAAGCAGCTGTTTTTCCTGTACCTCAGGAGTTTGTGGCTCTTGATGTTCTTCATCGCTCCATTCACCATCGGCAACCTTTTCATCATCATCATCATCATCATCACTGTCTTGTCGCTTGACAGGTACAACTCCAATTTTCGCTGCCAATTCTGCAGCAAAGTCTAGACCACCCTTAGGCTGAAGACAGAACAAAATATATACCAGTCAAAAGCCTGTGAGTGGCTTGTCTATTCCTGTGATAAATCAGGGGTTCATTAACATTTTCAGCAGAAGGGCAACTGGTTTTCACAGATGGGCAAACCTTTTGGACTGAACTTTGTTATAAGAAAAACCTTCCTCTAGATGGTCAAACCAGGCACACAAAATCATCCTCTCAACCAGTCAATTTGTCTGGTGCCTGATCCTTAATGAAACCCTTGGATACATGTAAATATGTTTTCCAACATAGACAAAGCTTCAAAGGTCACTTCTCAAGTTTCCTGTACATTTCATTTTCACTCAAGTAAACACAATCATTTTTTTGAAATTTGCCAAAACTCTATTAGAACTGATAGCCTAAAAGAACAGATGAACCTTGTCACTTGCTTATTCTGTCTCCTGTGAGAAATTCTGAGATTAATGAGCAAATGTAACAATACATTTAGATTATTCCTGGATTGGCTGTTACTGGTATGTTGTTGTGAAAAAAATGCCTATTGACTGAAAAATGACCAATCAAAACCATTACACACTGACATATTTCATTTTGTTTGTACCTTCTTGGGTTGCTGTTGTTGTTTTTCTTCTTCCTCGTCACTTTCTTCTTGTTCTTCGTCTGATTCTTGTTTTTTCTTTTTTTCTCCAAACAAATCTTCATCATCCTCATCTTCTGATTCAATCTTCTATTGTAAAAAAATTAAACAGACCCTGAGTGATGTAGATAAGCTTTGACTCCATTAGTAAACACTATACTTCTTTGGTCACAATCATCCTTACAGTGTACATGTACATCAACAAATGAACAGTACTAACTAAAGGTGTCCAGAGAGGTTACTTTGTTATCATTCCTTCCTACAATTAAGAAAAGTTTATCTTACAACAACATCACACTAGTCAGAAAAAGTCAAATTAATATTCTTTCTGCATGGCTAGAGACCACGACAGAGTGAAGTGTCTTGCCCACAAACACAAAGCCCAGGAAACCCAGAAGGACTCAAACCCATGTGTCTTGAATCAGAGTTAAACTCGCAAACCACTGGGTCACTAACTGCGCTTTTCCCCTCTAGAAACTGCACAAGACAAAATTGTTTGAATATATCTTTGGCATCTGTTAAATTGGGTTACGCATGCATTCATGGTACAAACTTTAGGCTTGTGTTTTTGTTTCTTCTCTGTTTCCTTTGGTTGCTCTGTCTCAGATTCACTGCCACTCTCTTCTGAGCTCTGTACAGAAAAATAATATTCTAACTTCAATAAGCTGTAACATGTAAATGCATTCCCTCCAATTTTAGTTGATTACTCATGTAATATTATTTCTTTGAATTTAATGGCACATCAAGACAACTTGACAATGTACTGTTACTGTAAGGGCAAATAAGATGGTGGACAGTTTTAGGAGTCAAGGGTTTCATATGACATAACTATCATGGGCGTCATTAAGTTTTGATTCACTTGTAGGCTGGCCTTGACCTTCACATCCGTAACAAACTTCTTACTTTATGGGTGAATTGTATCAACAACAGGCAGCCTCACTTGAAGCATCAAGGACCCATTAAGCATACTCAGCCATAACAGGTGTAATACAGGTTACAGCCCTTATCGACACCCCTGACAATTACAACAATGTTAGCTTGTCACATGAACGTTAACGAACATGAATTACATTTATTATTAATTTTGGATTTCATCAGGTTAGTAATGATCAAAGAAATTCTTCAAGAATCACTTGCCTCACTGATTGATTCTTCACTTGCTGAAGATTCTGTTTCACTTCCACTGCTGCTGGACGACGCCTCTTCCTCGTCCTCTGCACCTTCATCTTCTGTGCATTTGAGATTAGAAAATCAAGTTTGTGTACTGTTATGAAAATTTACATATTTATATGAACATAATGTGGAAGTTAACTAAGGTCTTTTAAGCCCAGTTGGTTCATTTATGTAGTTATTTGTGTTCATCTCCATTTCCTTCAGCTGCATGAAGTGGCCTGGAGGGCACCCACTTCAAATTATTGTCCATAATTAAATCTTAGTCAGGGATCTCGCTAACAAAACACAGCCCATCTGGCTTTTCTGGCTTTACACCTTCAAAGTTTCTCCAAAGTCTTTGTTTTCTTGTAAAATTCCAGCCAGATTTAAGTTCTCTTTCAGCCGTGGAAATAAGCTAGCCCAGCCAACCTTAGTTACATCCCTGTGGTAACCTAATGATCATTTTTCAAACTCAGTTCTCAGTACCTTCACCAGATGATTCTCCCAGTCCAACAAGCTCATCCCTGAAGAAATCTGAGGTTCCAATCAGATGTGGTAATGGACGATTGCCATATACATCCTACAAAAAGATACAGAGGCTTATAATGAGCACTGAGTGGACACGGAACCTTTGAGCATGAAAAGAACTCTTCACAACACATATGTAGGCAAACATGTACTGCATACAACAATCCTTTGGCTAATAACATATATATAATGCAAACTGATTCCAGACAGTGCATTCTGTCAAGAATTGGCAAATAACTGTGTGACTAGGGTATGAGAGACTCTGCTTTACTTTTTAATTACTAACTGTCCTTGAGCTTGTTTTATCAACTTGCAAGACTGATTACCAAAATCTGTGTTAAAGAGACTTGGGTGAAATTTGGTAGTACAAAACAGTAGTTTTACATCAAGGCAAGACCGTCCTCTAAATAGGATAATAGGAGTTACACTGCAGTTGACGATTTTCTTTATCCCTGTCCAGTCTGCTTGACATGGAGAAAAAAGCCACAGATCATTCTTGGAAGGTTAAAGACCTACTGGTCAGTAAATTAGAAACTCTTAAACAACATATGTGTAAGCCAGGGCTTCTAAAATTCTGTGCAGTAACACAGATGCAAATTTCAAGTAAATCTGCAAAGTCCTGCCAGATTCAAATTTTCACATTTTCCTGCAAAATCACCAGTTTTAGAGAGGCAACACTAATAAGTAGTTGGTGTTTCTGTTGCTGTTGTTATTGCGTAGGATAATGCTCATCATTTTCCCCACAAAATGGCAAAATTGCCATCTTTTTTGTTAAAAACGTTCTTCAAATCAGTGCAAAACTGATCAGTTTCCAGCGAAATTTGCCAGAAAATTCCCATGAAATTGGCTGTTTTTTTACTGATCATTTTTCAGGGAAATGTGCCCCAAAAAATACCGTAATTTCCTGCAAAATCAGCCGTTTTTTCCGCACATTTGTCTCTAAAAATCCCGCAAAATTTTCCTTTTTCTGCAACCTATCAGAATCCCTGATGAGTGCCTGCTGTTTAGTTGTACACTAACTAGGCTTGATTTCTGCAGCATTACGGTACATTAGAGATTCAAAATATTGTTTTAGACGAAACCAACCTTGGGCTCCAAAATAACTTGAGGCTTAAATGCTGTCTTCACATCTTCATCCTCTTCTTCATCATCAGAGTCTGTGTAGTGGACAATTAATGCACAGACACACATTAATCCTTCAGTTACCAGCTTCATACACAACATTCTTCACATCATTGTAACAAGGGTGAGACCTCTTTCTACATGAATGACATCAGCTTTAGAGCTGAAAACAAGTGATGAGCATTTAATGGCAAATGCAAAACTCCATTCTCCCTAAATCAGAGAGCTTATTCAGAAGCAAATGAGTTTCTTTCTTTTTTTTTTTGGCAAAATTATATCAAGTTAGGTCAAAACCAAAATTTCTCCATGATTCATAATAATACTTACGTTCCGTTGTAAGCTCAAGTGTAACAAATGCATTATCCATGACACCAATTCCATGTCTAAGAGCTTCACTCAGTTTAGGGATAACTTCAGCTTCTCTCTGTTCTCTTGTTTTCGCCTTTTGATGGTAAAGATTAAATGCCAATATTATTAATAAAAACAATTTTTCCAAATCCTGCCCTTTGAATAGTTGAAGAAATACAGGGGTGGAGGCAAATTGACATTGTAGCTTGAAGAAAAAGAGGAAGTTAGAGGACCACAGGTTTCTTAGTGCTATGAACTATTTTACAGTAACCCTTTCAAATGGAATAAAGTTATTGATATTGATAGGTGGGCAGATCATGAAGTTTGTATAAAACAAATATTGTAACATTAGAGATACCACTACAGGTGTTAACTGGCAACAGCTGGAGAGAAAGTTATAAGACAGAGAGCGATGAAGAGACCTTCTTAAGGACCTATGCCCCCACGGTGTGAAAGGGATTAAGACAGAGACAGACAGAGATACCATTGCATCCTGGAAGACCCAGGGAGAGTTAGTGGAGGCAGGGCTCGAAATTAACTTTTTCGTTCGGGAGCCAGCTGGCGACTAATGGAAAAATTTTGGTCGCCAGATCGTAAATTTTGGTCGCCAACTTATT